AAAATATTTCTGAAAAAAATTGATTTTTTAAATTTTAAATTAATATTTTTTTGATATTTTTAGATTATTTTGATGTGTTAAGATTAAAAATAATTTTTTTAAAATAAAAAATATTATTTTTATATATTTTTAACTAAAAAATATTTTAAAAAACTATAGCAAACACCTTGCTAACTAAGTTTACTAAAAATCGAGGCCAATGATGAAAGGACCCGATAGCCCTTTGGCTGTGCTTTCTGAGGACATCAAAGGGAAGCTGCTCTTTTCGCTAATCGAACTTTAGAAAGACAAAAAGGCAACAAAAGAACCCGTCAAGCAAGTAACACTTGAACAGATGGACTTCCATTAATTCGAGAGTTCTTGGACCAATGATTTCATGTATTATTTGTGTCACTTATTTCAAGGCCTCAATTTGATCATGTGCTTCTATCAACGTTTGGACTATAAATTAAGCAAGTTTCTCATGATTAATCAAGGTTAGATAGAAATGATAACACTTGGACTCTAAACTATGCTTGAGATTTCATACAAACTAATGAAAATGCCAACATGTTAAATTTATTAAAAATAATAAATTTATCTATGGGTTTGACAACATATTAATTTAGGGTTTTCTTTAGGTGTTATTGGTAAAAAATAGGTTATAAAAATAAAAATAAAAATTTAATTTTTTAGTTAATTTTTAGGGAAATGTTTTTTAAAACAAATATTATCGTACATTCCAATTGCATTTAAAAGAAAAATTGGGCTCCATACGGGTCCTTTCTAATTGTAATAGGGCTCTTTCATTTTTCTTTTATAATTTTGCTTTTATTAAAAAAAATCATGCTTTTTTTTAATGTTTTTTTTAAATAATCTTACTATTTATATTTAAATTAATTCTTTTTTTCTTTGGTTTCTTATTTTTTGTATTTAATTTGTTTTTGTAAATAATGGTTGTTTTTGAATTATTTTACAGGTGTTTGAAGAAACTATTTTAATTCATTTATATTTTTTTAATAAAATTAAAATTTATTTTTAAATAATGCTACACAATTCCCTACCTTCGTAATTATATTTGTGTTACCGGATTTTTTTCTTCTTCATAAAAAGTCATCTCTACAAGTTTGATTATATTTGTGATTGATGTGATTTGTTTTTTTATTTTTTATTTAAAAAAAAAAAGAAAAGAAAGAATGTCGAAGATTCTTTGGGGAAAAAGTTTGAAAACACAGTATAAATTGTATTTTTTATTAAAATTAATTTTTTGAATTATTTTGATATATTAATCTTAAAAATAATTTTAAAAAATAAAATAATTATTTTAAAAAATAACTATAATCACGTTTCCTTAAAGACCTGAACATCAACCCGATAAGACTTCTGTTTTTAAACCTGAGAAAGAAACCTGATATCCTTTTCTCTTTTTTTTTTTTATCTCTGGGTACAAAAGTAATTGAGCTTGCGTTATGTAAGATTTAATTCGTCCACCAAAAAGGAAAAAGAAAGAAATGTACAATTACTAGCTTTCTGACGGGCCATGCAGTTCTTCTGTTCTGTTAATTTCTTCGAATTATCAGCACTGCGAACAAGCGTGATCCCCCGCGTAAATCTCACGGCTCGTTTCATTTCTCATATTGCTATCATTAATTATTAGATACAAACAACTTTTTAAAGTTAGGAAGAACAACAACCCATCGATTTAGAGTGCCATC